GGATTCCATGGCATTCTGCCCAGCCCAGGTGCTGTGTCCCTGTAAGTGCAGGGATACTGCAAACTGTTGCCTCATTTGAGATTCACAGGGTTCATCCGCATACTTTAAAAGACCCACTGTAAACAAACCAATTTAAATCTGAATAATGGGGGCTGTTGCCCAAACTCTTTGGACCCTTTACCTTCACTGCTTGTCGTTATAATAAGCATCCCGCAGAACTGGTGTGTGTCACCGCAGGGAAACATTGTGTTCCACTCGGTAGGGAGGGTGGTGGGGACAGATTCAGGAAGAAGGCCCCTGGGTGCCCGGGGGTCTTAACCTTGAGGAAAGAAGTTCCTGTTTATTCCAGAGAGCAGGAGATTGGCCAGACCTAAAGGAGGCAAGAGGGGGTGTTCGAGGATGACATCTTGTTTGGAAAAGTGTGTCTGCTCTGGGGTTCTTTGGGGAGCAGGAGCCTGGACAGTGGGGCTCAGAGGAGGGAGGTGGGACGTGCAGCCCAGCTCCCGGGCGGCGAATTCTGGGCGGCGGACGTCTCTGGCTCTTCTCTGTTGCTGTGCCTCTTAACGACCCTTCCCGTGTTGCTTTTCTGTTGTTAACCACTTCCCTCTTCCCCACCCCAAAGACCTCCTTCTCCTCCTTCCTACACAAACATCGGTCCCCTCCTCTCATTATGCGTCTCCCAGGCCCTCTCTCTATCTGCGTAACTGCCCACAAAGAGGAACGAAATGCGAGCTTGTGCGTGTTTATATTTGTATCTGAAGTTACTAAAGTTACTAGATAGAGCTTTGTGTTCCCTTTTCGTATCTTGAAAACAGCTAATTTGGCATGTTGCGTTCTTTCTTGTATCCCCAGACTAAATGATGTTCCTTATGGCTATGAGTAATCATTCACGATCCTTGATCAATTTTATTATATTCCCCCCACCCCCAGAAGCTGGAGGCCTCAAAAGCACCCCCCCTCTGGCCTCATCAGTTTTGTATGTGACCCTTGGTAAGCTGGGAGCCTGGAGGGCTGGGAATACCAGTGAAGGATGCTGGTGGGTGAGCCAGACTGTTCAGATCTCCACTGACCACTTTGCCCAATGTGCCCGGGACGGAGAGCGAAATGTAGCGAGACAGGGTGTCGGAAGAGAGCTGCTGTGTGGGGAGAAATGGTTGAATGGAAAATTATTTTTTCTTTTCCAGTAATTGTTTTGACATGAGCAGTAATTAGCCAACAGCTGACAGACCAGAACTAAAGTGAGAACAAGAGAATGGATTAGGGGCAGAATGCCCTGCGTTAGACAGCCCCTGGCTGCTGTTAGCTGTGGGCCATGGGCCTGAGGATGCTGGGAGCCGAAGGAAGAGCAGGGTGGGTTTGAGGGTGCACTTTCGAGGTGCCGTGAAGGGAGTAAGTAGAGGTCATGAGGGCAGCCTCTGCCCTCAAGGACTTGGGGACAACCTTGGTTTACAGGGATCTACACTATCAAAGAGCATATGATTTATAAGTTCTTGCCCGAGCAGGCCTTAGTTCCGATTTGTGACTACGTATTCTGTTGTCCTGGTCAAACTGAATGGTGGTTCTGTTCTTGTTGTGGGTAGATTTTAGGATCAGGGTAATGCTGACATATATAATAAACTGGGAAACTTACCACGTATTTCTGTACTGTGGTGCAGTCTGTGCCTAGGTATTTCTTTGTTGAGCGTTTGAATGAATTTGTCCACACAACCATCTGGGCCCAGTGCCTTTTGGAAGGAAGGTCATTTTTCAAAGGTTTTATTCATTTTGGGGTTTCTAGTGTCCTTTGAAACCCTTTTGATAATTTGAACCTTATGGGAGGCTTTGTATTAGCCTAGAATTTATAAATCATATGCTCTTGCATAAAAAACACCTCTACTGTGGTGGTTGTGCTTGTTTTCTTTCTAATTCCCAGTTCTGAGCATTTGTGCTCTTTCTCTCAAATCACACAGGCTGATCTGCCTGTTCCACTGT